ACAAGTAATCCTCTGGATTACTTGAAGCCATGGAAATTAGGCGCTGAGAAATAAGGTAAATGGAAATTGCTGTCCATCTTTAACGTTAATTTCTAATGGTCACAGTACTGGAAGCCACAAAAGTATGCCTTTTAATTAATGTTCATTTCATTAATGTTCATTTCATTTGCTGTGAATTGTAACTAGTAATATAGAGGAGAATCTCCAAACCTGAGAAGATTAAGAAAAAAGATAATGGATACATTTTCTTCAAAATGTTAAAAATAGCAAAGCAGGAAAATAATCTGAGCAACAACAAAGGGACATATTTCCATTCCTTTCTTTAAAATATAACTAGTATGGGATTTGTGCTCTCCAGGCTTCACACAGTAACATCCTGGATATGGGCCCTACAGACCCAAATTGTTTCTCATAATAAAGCATGATGTGGAGTCAACATGAAATCCAGTTAACTTACATTTTCCTTCATCCTTTTTCTTTGTAATTATCACAGCCTCAGCACTATGAAGTTCTATCACCATATTTGGAGCACTGTGTTTTAGAAGAGTGCTGTTGACAGTCAAAGCGTATCTAGTGAGTGCAGCATTTAGAGAGCAGCATGCTGCTAGCATCGTGCAGATTGCAAATTTCTTGTCCTAGTTTCTCACCCTGCAGCTGGTTCCATATGGGCAGCTTTAATGCACTTTCATAACGTGAACTGTAGCAAATACAGAATTCTCATTTCTGTAACCACCATGCTGGGAGTCTCACAGACTACTTGCTGGTGTTAATGCTGCTGCATCCATCTGAATGTTCACAGCACCGTGCTGGAAAAGCCATTCTTCATCAACATGAAACCTGAGAGCCAGGGTTCAGTAGTGTTAGGTTTAAAGGATCTGGTGTCACCCCATAGGCTCCTAGAGTTTAACCTCACATCTTCTCAAATTCACCATCTGAAGTCACACTTGTAAATTAAATCTCTTCAGCTGACTAGCTTGGATGGAGCACTGTTATAAATCCTCTGTCTTAAGTTGATCAGGTATAGATCCCTCAATGAAGTATGCAATGAATATTTGCTTGGGAAGCAGATATAGCCGGTTAACTTTATTCTGTCAATTTATCTACTTTATTAAAAAAAAAAAAAAAAAAAAATCAATGCAGCTTCTATGTGTTAAGTAAGAGCCCTTAATTTTGTAAAGCATATTTTCTCATTTCATTTGCTGCATTATTTTGTCTGAGATTTTTTAAAAAATTACTCAAGCTTCTTTTATGAAGAATATACTGATGGTGGCTTTACAGTATTTGTGATGTCCTGCAGCTAATTCAGGAGGGTAGCAGGCTGGTAGCAATGAACTGTGTGTGGTGCCTTCTGAATAATCATCAGATCTGTTGCTCCACCAAGTTTTGATATTTTCAAGGGCAGACTAGAAGAGAAAATTATCAGCAGGGTGATGCTTCCTCATTCCCAGCTTCTAGTCCTGGTCTTCGGCTGTCCTCCATGGAAACAGATGAGTGGGCTTGCACCAAGGTGTGGAGGTTCCCTCCATGCAGCTTCCTATGGGGGAAAGGCCAAGGCAGCAGCTCAGTGGTTCTGTGGCAGAGGGTGCACAACTGGGGCGTCCCTTCTGCTCTGCTCCACAGTCCATCAGATCAGTGTAACCTTGCCATCCTGGCTGGGTAAAAATGGCTGCAAAGGCTGAGCTGCTCTGAGTAGCTCTGATGTATTCTGCGGAGCCTCAGGTTCTGAGAGAAACTCAAGTGCTGTTTTGTTTGCTTCCAAAAGAGATTATCTTGGTACATATACAAAACGCAAAACAACCTGTGGCTGGATGTGGTCTGAGTGGAAACACACTACTGGTAAAGCCAAGTGATGTCTCAGCTCTCTAATCTTGTCTCTCACACCAGTAATATCGTAATAGATGGAGTTCAGGGGTTGTTAACAAAGCCCACCGATATTTTACACCACTGGAAGTGAGATACTTCTTCAGCAGTTAAACAGAAATTTCACAAACCTCTGTCAATTGTAATGAAATAGAAATTTCACAAACCTCTATCAATTGTAATGAAATTGTTCCATTTAACAATTTTCTTCTTTATCTGAGTGCATTTATTGTTACAGCTTTGTATTACTTTTGACACTGCAGCGATGTTTTCTCAACAGCAAGCTGAACAAGGTGTTTTCTTCTTCTTACAAGGATAAGAATCCCCCTTCTCATGTTATAGCCTGGTCCATTTATATGTTGCTAACCACAGCATAGGAGAGGACAGCAGAGAGTAACAGGCAGAGAGTTATTGCACTTAGCTTCTGGCTATTAACTGATAGATGCCCTTGTTCTGACTCGATGAGTGATTACCAGATAGTTGGGCACCAGTCCGGGTGCTGTAGCCACACTTAATTGTGACTGATTCATTGGGCTGAAATATGTCACTAATTTAATTCAGCTATTTCATTAATCTGATTGAACTGCATCCAGCCATTAGAGGTGTATGAAAGAAAGGTATCTGACACACGAGGCAAGAACACTAACCTCTGCATTAAACTATAAAACAGCCATTAGGACATCTAATGCCCACATTGAATTGCTCCATAGAAACTTGGTTTCCAAGCATAATACTAATTAGCTATAAGCTTGATGAATGTCAAGAATTAATTAAAACATTTCAGTGGCCTGTGTGGGTTTTAAATATCATCATTATTGCCCCCAATATTTTCAGTTCATACACTAATTGCTTTATAGAGAGCACGCATGGAATTATCTCTTGGAGTGACTGAGGGGACAAATGGTTCACTGTGTCACTGAACATGCCCCTCCTTGCCTCTGGATTTCCCTTTCTCCTAAAACATACGTACAGTTTTTCTTCCACTTCTGTGCATGTATTGCAAATAGAAAGGTAAGATCTGTGATTTTGGACCCAAATTTTATTTTGACAGCACTTTTAATCTTCCTTTCTTAGCTGTACTCTGGAGGCCAGCACAGTTGTTGTTACCTATTTTCATTCTGGCAACAGGAAAATAGCTGCAGTTCCATCAAATGACCTTTTTGTTTTAAATTAAGCAGGATGTCAGCCAAAACCCTTGATTACTTTTGTCCTGTTAATAAAAGGCCTGCAACAGTTTAGACATTTAGGACATGAAGTAGACATAAAATAAAAAACATTTTGGGAAATTAATAATTGGAAGGCAATTGATAATTAGAATCAGCTTTTGGTTGTTTCTTGAACATGATCTTCATGTAAAAATAACCAAGTTTTCGATACAGGAATTGTAGATGCATAGTACAGACTGCTCGTATTCCTTCTCCCTGATGAATGTTTCCACATATTTGGCTGCCTAGTAAGGATGAGTGTCCAACATGCCATTTTATAGACTGCAGCCATATGTATGACAAATGTACGAGATGACAAGACATGGGAAGAGCCATATCACCAGGAAGGCTTGTAAGAAGGCTTCTGAGTGTTGAGCAGTGCCAGAAACCACAAACTGCCTACAGCTTATTGCCTTAGGCTTCACTTTATATATCTGATGGTTTCTGTTCCATGGACCTCAGAGGGAGGGAGGAAGATGTCAGTAGTGCATGGGAGACTGCTGAATGCGGAGAACTGAAAGAATCTTTGCAGTGCCATGTTGTTGCCCTTTCTGTGGGAATGTGATGGACTCACAGAGCCTCCATGAGCTCAGCGTTGTTCACAGCAGTCTGTTTGGATCTCAGCAGTTTGGACTCGAGGACTTTTTGTGGGACCTTGGTTTAGTTTCTACACTGTGATTGGTTTCAGGAAACAACATTTTGCTTTCATTTAGTATTTATTTTGTGAGGAGGTATAGATGATTGCTGTGTCATAATAGCATGAAGTATGGTGTTGAAGCACTGCTTATTATTCCTTCTTTTAAAAATTTAATTAAATAGTTTTGCGACAGCTCTTTCCCTAGTGAGAAATGTGTTCAGTATTGTACTTCTTAAAATAAACTATTATGGGCTAGTTGTCTAAATGCCAATTGCTTTGAGGCATAACATATGTAAATAATGAAGAAAACTATTTGATTTGACAGTGCTGTAAGAAATTCAGTTCCAGGTTACTTAATCCTATCCTTCTCATCCCCAGTTTTCCTATTCAAGGATGCTAATTTCACTCTGTAGCATGTGAAAGATGCCTAGCAGCATATTTGTAGGTAACATTTTGTATGAAAGCATGAACAATTTAGTGCTCGTAGAAGAAGAGGGTGGTTGAGATACACAATTCCTTCTGTGCTGGGATATCGTGTTATTGGAAAAACACAACGTAGAAGCTCAAAGTAACCATATACTTGAGAGAACAGATCTGGTGATAGCTTCAGACTGTCGCAGAATCATAGAATCACCACGTTTGGAAAAGACCTCTAAGATTATCCAGTCCAACCATTCACCTATCACCAATATTTCTCACTAAACTGTGACTTTCAGTACAACATTTGCATGTTTATTGAACGCCTCCAGGCTCAGTGACTCCACCACCTCCCTGGGCAGCCCATTCCAATGCCTGGATACCCTCTTGGAGAAGAAGTTTTTCCTAATATCCAACCTGAACCTCTCTTGGCACATCCTAATCCTATTGCTAGTTACATGGGAGAAGAGGCCGATCCCCACCTCACCACAGCCACCCTTCAGGTTCAAGATTACTCTTGAACCTCCTCTTCTCCAGACTAAACAATCCCAGTTCCTTCAGCTGCTCCTCATAAGGCCTGCTCTACAGACCCTTCATCAGCCTTGTCCAGCCATTCATGGGCACTCCATTGCACTGCTTTATCTCCAGAGGCATGAGAACCCTGGGGCAGCAGAGAGCTTAGCTACTATGTTTGTTTAAAACACTGAAATTAGCTGGGAATCAGAGAGATGTTGAAGGTGTATCAGTGGTTAGTATTAAAACAAAATGAGTTTAGAAGGAAATTTGTACAATACCTCTCGCAAATGTTTTTCTGACGCTCTTTTTTTCTCTCATCTCTCTCTGTCTCTCCTCTTCTTTTTCTTCTTTTTTTTTTTATGCAGTGCCGGCCCTAAAGGAGATAACATTTATGAATGGAGATCAACTATACTTGGACCTCCGGGTTCTGTATATGAGGGGGGCGTTTTTTTCCTGGATATCACATTTTCATCTGACTATCCATTCAAGCCACCAAAGGTAAGGGTAAGGTTTTTACTGTGCTCTTTGTTGTTTGTTTGCTTTTTAGCATACAAGAAAAATTTAACTTGCAGTGAGTGACTGCTCATCACCTTCTGACAGTCAGACTTGTTTATGGTCTTAAAAACTAAATGGTCCAAAATCTTGGCTTGCTATTCCAGAAAATCCTGTGTCTAATTTATTTTTTTATTATCACAATCAATGCTGATTTCCTAGTTTTTACAAGCCACAAATGACATCATCCTTCTGATAAGGAGTTAATGTGAAGTACACTGATTTTAATTGAAGACCACGTGAGACCTTCTTATGCTTCCTTCATTTCATTCAAGCTACTAAAATACATATAAAATAAACTTCTCTGTATTATGAACCAAATTTTATATTGTATATTTTTACATTACTGTTAGCCAAAAAAAAAAAAAAAAAAAACCAACACCAAAAAGCCAGCAAAAGTAATATTAGACAGGCAGCTGAAGTATGGTATTGTGACTTGGAGTTGTGTAATTACTGTGATGACTTCCATTGTTGTAAAATGTCAAAATATATACTACTAGATAGATCAGCAGATTGATTTGATAATATTTTTCTGCAGAAGTTTTTTTTATAAAATGAAGCCAATATTAACTTCAATTAAAGTTTCATTTCCTTGCTTAGAAACAGTATGCATATTTAAGGAAATATTATTTCCTAATAGGTGTCAAAGACATTAGAGGTCATTCTGTTCTCACTTAATGCCAAATTACAAAGCTTGAGCACGGCATCAGAAAGGACACTGTCAACATTCACAAATGGCAAATACAGTCTACAACAAAACATTTCTACAACTTGAGGCTCCTGTGGCCATCACATTGTTAATATAAATGCATCATCTTTCTTTCATTCCCAAAAGCATTACAGCAAATAGAACAATATACCCTCCATGTATTTCACACTCATCCGAAATTCTCAAAATTCTGTTCCATGAGTTAAGATTGTTATAATGAAATTATGCTGGGATCTGGTCAAATTTCTCATTACAGTCATTTGGATTATTTTAAAGAGCACAATCATTTTTGAACTGTCAGTAGTTTGAAGAACAGTCGTGGACTCCACCCCCAACCCCCACTCCTCATCAGTGTGAGAAAGAAAATTTTCCTCATCTTGTGCTATGTGTAATTAAAGTGTTTAAATGTTTCTAACTAATCTCTGTAAAATAATACATATTTTAACAAAACTAGTCTGTAATATAGAAGAACAAGGATGGTGTCAGTTCAGGGTGTTTTGTTTTAGATGTATGTTATATTCTACTGAAAGGTATTGAAAAGATTTCACTGCTAGTTTGGACATGAATAATATAACATTCCAATTTAAAATATTAATTTTCATGGTCTATATTTGAATTTGGAAAGAAAGGAAAAGATCAACTAATGCTTCACATGCAGCCAAGATGTGTCTACTTTTTCAGCTTTGGTAGCTTCAATAAAGTTTTGTTTCTGATTAGACAATTCATGGCATGCCATGTGTTCATGAATTAGCATACAGGGCTACAGAGTAGACTCTCATTTTTGTGAGTACCAGACAAAGAGCTTGTGTAAGAGCAGTCCATGCACCCAAGATCTCCTTGGTAGTTTCTTGTAAGTAGCTGTGGCTACAATGAATATGCATTCTTCGGTTGCAGAATGTTGCTTTAGAAAGTGAGCAGAGAGGAGCTGCCTCCCAGAGACTCTGCAGAACAGAGAAGGGCCCTCAGGGACTAGGGGCAGTGCAACTTGGCAACACTGAATGACTTTTTCTGTCTCTTGTGCTGCAATTCTAGGTTACTTTCCGCACCAGAATTTATCACTGCAACATCAACAGTCAGGGAGTCATCTGTCTGGATATCCTAAAGGACAACTGGAGCCCTGCTTTGACTATTTCAAAGGTCCTGCTGTCTATTTGTTCTCTCTTGACAGACTGCAACCCGGGTAAGGAGCTGACAGTTTTCTGGGCATCATCTCCTAGTCATTTTAATTACTTTCCATGGAATATAATTTGTATATTTGATTGTATTTACATCAAATCAAAGTTGAAATCAAATCAAGGCTGAAACAGTCCTGGTTGGATACTATGCTTTTCAGTCCTGTGGCCCAATAGAAAATAGCATTAAGCCCATTTATTTCAAAGGTGTGCTGGAGAAAACGGAGTTATGTCTCTGAAGGTCTGTATCCCAAAAGCTGTAGCAAATGAATGGTAGATCTAGCAGTGTGGCAAAGTTCTCTGAGTTACAAACTCCTAAATGATTCAGGTTGGAAGTGGCTGCATGAGGCCTCCTCCTCTTAGGACAGCAATTGAAATGTGCAGGTGACAATGTTTAGAGAGATTTTATCTTTTTCAAAGAGAGTTCCTTATTCCTGTTGGGAAGAGGGGAGCTTAACTAGAAGCAGCAAAATTCTCAGCAGCAACTGCATGGTGAGCGTTGTTGTGTAATGAACACTAATTGCGTTCGGTCAGCAGAGAAACTAAGAGGTGGTGCCAAGATGACAGGTCATTCACAGGAGACCGGTAATGAGCAGGAAGAATTGGATTAGTCCCTTTGATACAGAATTCTGATGACTCTTGGATCCCTTGGTGTATCTCCTGCCATCCTCATGCCTAATGTACTCCAGCACTGTAACGGGAGGAAGCCAGCCTGCACTCATCTAGTGTAGCAGCCCCTCTAAAGGAATGCAAGGTGTCTGGCTGGGGAAAGCAGTGATGGTGCAATTCATTATGTCCTCCATAGGGACAGTGGTAAGGCATATTTCAGAGGATGTCCCTCACAGGTAAGTTTCCATCAGGCAAAGGGTGGCTGGTGGATGATGCATCCTGGAGTTAGTGCATGGAGCTTTTCAGCCCCAGCACGTAGGCTCTGCTTACGAGGATCTTGATCTCCTTGAAATTAAGAAGTTAAACTACTTTTTTTTTGCTGAGACTCACAAGGAAATTGTTGTACCAATCGGTTGTTTCACTACCTCCAGCTGGCAGCATACCTGTCTGTACAGATGTCTACCCTCCTTTAGAACATTAGGTCTTCTAAAGAGTAGAAGGTTTTCTAGGAAGGTTTTTATTTTCAAAACATCAGTTGTTAAAAATATGAACAAATTGCACCTGACAAAATGGTATCTGGATTGCTGGTGCTCTTACAAAACTTCCCACCACGCCTTCTGTCAGGTTTTGGCTGAAAGGAGCAGCTGTAACTTTTGGACACAGGTGTCTGCCTGCCATTTGACACACTAACAACTAGGTAACCCAAACAGATTCATTATTTTTCTGTTTGTTGTGTGCTGTATCTTGGAAGAGCCTCGCTACATTTCATAGCATTTTCTGTCTTAACGAAGATTTTATTTTGAAATAGATTATGCGTATTAAATGACAATAGGGTTGGATTTTGTGGTTTTTTTGTGCGTGCATTTTTTTAGGGGAGTTGGTTTGTTATTTCTCTTTCATTGTTTTTTGTTTTGTTTTGTTTTGTTTTGCTTATTGTGGAGTAATTTCTAATGCATCTTCTCCTGCCCTTTACAGCTGATCCTCTGGTTGGAAGCATAGCCACTCAGTATCTGACCAACAGAGCAGAACATGACAGGATAGCCAGACAGTGGACCAAGAGATATGCAACATAAATGACAAACTACTTGTGCAGTGTGAAGGTGCGGAAGGCAACTTTACAGTGTGCAACAAATCTTTATAGCCTTTACAATACGGACTTCTGTGTATATGTTATACTGATTCTACTCTGCTTTTATCCTTTTGAAGACTGGGATATTGCCTCCCAAAAAGGTAAATGCTATCAAGAGTAGAAATTTGTAGCTGTAGATTAGTTATGTTTAAAACGCCTACTTGCAAGTCTTGCTTCTTTGGGATATCAAAATGTATTTTGTGATGTACTAAGGATACTGTTCCTGAAGTCAACCAAATATTATAGTGCATTTTAGCCTAATTCATTATCTGTATGAAGTTATTAAAGGTAGCTGTAGATTACTAGGAATTATGTCATTTGTATTAAACCCAGATCTATTTCCAATATGTGGTACATGCTGTTGTGAAAACTGTTTTAACTTTTACCTTTGTCAGTTTGTAATGAAAGGATTTCCTTTTTCCCTTTGTAGCTCAGAGAGCACCCAGTGTATCATCTCAAACACAATAAACATGTTCCCCAAGGAGTAGTTTCTTTGTTTTCCTATTTTAAATTAATATTTGAAAAAATTTAATTATAGTAACAAGGCAGGGCTAATGTATCACAGATCCCTGTGGATAATCTTTAAATTAATATACATAAGCAAAGGCTTGCTATAAATGTTTAATGCACACCTGTGGATTGTTTAAGTTTTCCCTGGGTTTTTTTGGTTTGGTTTTATTTTTACAGAACAAATGTCATTTCCATAATTTCCTTAACTGCTCAGCTCTTTTTCAAGTTGCAATGAGAGCATTGCATATGCTTCCTCCAAAAGCTAATGTAGCTGGTTGCTTCAGGGCCAGACCTGTTCTTGTAAGAGCTGGCCTGGTCTTGCTACAAACTCTTTTTTGCAGGACCAGAGCCCAGTTACAGATGGTCTGATGCTTTTGTGTCAGACTAAAGCAAGTCGGGCTTGCTAATCTGGAGAACCACAATTGTCCATTGAAAATGGTCTTCCAAAGCACGGTTAAACACTAGTCTGTCCACAAGAGAAAATAGTAGAATAAACTTCATCAGATTTTTATGACAGAAAAAAAAAAAACGCTAGTGAAAATGCAAGATGTAAAACTTTTAGACTACTTTTCCCCTCCCCTCTTCATTTTCTGGCTTGGAAATTTTGTAACATCTGTAAGTAATGAAGATACAGCTTTATAGCACATACAGTAGAGTCACCAATAGTTTTATAATTTAGTTTTTGTAGGTTGCCAGTCACACCATCGATTATACAAAAAGATATTTGATCCCTTTAAATCATATTTAAAATTACACCTGATGTTAAAGTTTACTGTTCCCTTTACTGCCTGGTGTTTTTGGAGATAATGTAGCACTTCCGTCAGTAGGATGCTCTGCTCACTTAATATATGAAAAATGAATGTTAAGTTTAAATACTAAAGCAATAGAAAAAATGTTAAAGATTAAATCTAAAGTTAGCCATCACTATATAGATCCCTGTTTTTTGTATCACAACCTTTGATCATGAATTGTCCACCCTACTTTAAATATTTCTACAGATTCCTGAAGGTGGCTTGAAGAACTGCGTATCCCAAATATCTCAACCTAGAAGCCAGTCTCTCTTGATAGCTACAAGATAGCTTTAGACTTCAGGTTATAAAGTGCAAAAGGGAATGAGAAACAGGGGATCTGGCAGGTGAATACACCTAAGTTGGGTAACAGACTAATGCCAGGAAATGAAGTGCTGGAAATCACTGCTGATGGTGACCAGAGTTTCTCATTGTGTCGTTGAACATGTGAGAAATAGCACAGATTGGCAAAGCAACAAGGGGCTATCGCATCCGGGCTGGACATCCACGGTCTGCTCACTGCTGTCCAGTAGTGCACTGCTGTGCTGCGCAGTGCTCGTACACCGCTCCGGTGACTTTCCATTGAAGAGCAAACTATGTATTTCATGTGTTAATTATGTTGCCTACAGAATTTACAGATATTTATATCATGAAATAATATGGTATAAAAAAAAAAAGACAGGTTTTAATTCTAATTTTAATGTATTTTGTTTTTGTATTGTACTGACAACTTAAACTACTGAGGTGTACAAGTGTGATGCCTCATCAGTGTTGCCCCATCTTGCCTTCCTTGCAATTGGATCCTTTACACTGAATTCTCATCCTTTTTCTTTTCTTTCTTTCTTTTTTTTTTTTTTTTTTTTTTTTTTTTTGTTGGTTTGTCATGATTCTGTTCTTTTTTAATGTAGTTTTTTTTTTTTTTGTGCGTGTGTAAATTTTATATTTACTGAAGTAAAGGTTGTTTTTGTGTAAACATTTAAACTTTAAAAAAGAAAAAAGAAAAGCTAATTTTGTTTCTCAAGTTCTCTCTGCTAAAACATGCAGTAGAAAGAAATTTGTATTGTTAAATAAATCAATTAGTTGTTAAAAGCGAATGTGTGTCTGTTTTCACGGGGAGGGGAGAAAGCCCTGCTGGAATTGTATCTGAAATCCCAGTTGTAGAGAGCATCTGATGTTTGCAGAGTGTTTCCTGGTCATGTCAGGGTGAAGTTTGGGCACGACTGAATCAGCACTGATCCTGTTATACGGTTTTATTTTTCAGTTCCATTTTTTCATCACCTGTCACATAGCTTACGCGGCTACGTGTCTGGGAGAAGGTGAATTCGGATGACACAGTGAAAAGGCCAGCTAATGGCCGCGGGTCACCTCTTCCTCTCCATTCTGTGTGGTCTCTGCTCTCTTATCCTTGAGGTTGGAGTCAGGAGTGCAGGAGGTGTCTGTCCCAGGGGACCTATGGGAAGCAGCTGCTCCAGCCGGGGGGCTGGGAGTCTGTGGGGAGCAGAGCACCTTGGCACTTCATGTGTGTAGGAATGGGTGAATTTTATTCACATGAGATAATATATTAAATACAATGGAAAGGCAAATCTGCATCAGCCTAACCTACATGAGTGCCCTGAACTTGCACGGCTTTAGAAGACTGACACCAACGTGCCTAGATGTGACTAAGCCATTAAGTAGCACTGCACATGCAGCCCATGCTATAGCCCAACAAACACTTAGCTCAGCATTGCTTTGCCTGCATTATCCCTTGAACCTTGGCACAGTGGCAGTGCTTCCATTTAATGAGGCTCTGTAGCTCCTGAGGCAGACCAGCAGTTTCCCTGCCCTCTACAACCCAAGCTGAAGCCACCTCCAGCCTGGTGGCCAGGAGAGTCTGCAGCATCACACAAGTGTGTTAAGGGGAGAAGACATCACATAGGAACCCAACTGCTGGTGCTACAGCCTGACCTTGCTGAAATGAGCATAATTAGACACATTCATCTGTAGATCAGGTGGAAAAACAGATAATGCACTAACAGGTAGTTGCTGGAGGACTTGCAGCACTAACAGGCTTTTGCTTTTCTGTCCTAAATGAGCTCATCATCCTCAACTTCTCCATGTGTATCCCTGTGGAGTGCTGCTATGACCAGCTCTTTCACTGGGTAAAGAGAAAGCATCCAACACTGCAGCAGGAATCTACGGGTTCCTTAAAAATAAAACCTGATCCAATTTATGATTTTATGTATCATCATTGTTACCAGCCTTTAATAAGCTCTTTCTCCAGGCTGGAGACTCCTCTTTAATTAGCCTCTCTCTGTGCCAAAGGTTTTCTTCCCATCCCAGTCACTCTTATCTGAGCAGTTCACAATTCTGCAGCAGCCAACTCAAGGCAACGATAGCCATACATTGTACACAGAAGGTGAATTCACAGTTCACCTAGAATCATGTTGCTGGCTTGCTCTGCTTGCTGAATAATCTGTAATACTGCATGCCTTTTTGACCATTGCTTATTGCTTGGATAAAGTTTTTAAACCACATCCAGAAATGCTGGAAGCTCTTTTCTAAGCAATAGGTAATGCATCCATCAGCATAGGCCTGACAAAAGCACCTTTTCCAATATTCTCTAGTTGGTATCATCACTGGATTCACCTGAGATCTGAGCTCCCAGTTCTCTGCATCACAAAATCCTTTACAATGCTTTGCAGTCAGCTTCACTTGAGCCTGCTCTGAGTGCTGCTGCTCCACACACAGTGCTCGAGCTGGGGCTGGAGGTGGGCAGAGGGTAAGAGCCGATGCAGAAGCACCGCGCTGGACAGGTCTGTCTGCCAAGGAGTGATGGGTCCCCGCGGATAAATTATCATCTTGCTTCTGAATGGCACAAATGAAAGCAGCTGCCAACCGTTTTCATCAGGCTGGGCTTTGTCTCCCTCTACAGAACAAATGTCAGGTCATTACTTAAAGAGGAGCTCGGGGCGGGTAAATTTTCCAGAGTGCTGAATGAGCTGTCATGCCAGAGATTAGTTTTCTGGGCTATCATCTTGGTAGACAGGGGTGAATCTCGAGTCCTGTGGGAGACCCTCCTTCCGAATGCAGCAATTGAATGTGTCTCCAGGTGGGCTTGGGTTTATTCAAGCATACAAGCAGTAGGGGAGGGGGTGGGGATAAAGGGGCAGTGGGTGGAAGCGGGATGGAGCTGCTGAAGTACAGCAGTGTGGGGTGCCAGGGAAGGCAATACCATTGTCAGTTTCTGAACGGGAATACACACACGCCTTGTATGGTAGCTGTGGAACAAAGATGTCATCTCCTTACTGCTGGGATATTCACTTGTTATGCATAAGCAGCATTCTCCATCCCATTCACTTCAGGCTGTTGCTGTTTCCAGCTGAATTGTTTCATAAGCACAGATTTAGAGAACTTCAAAACGTTGAGGTATTGCTTAAGCTTCATGCAGATGCAACTGATATTTTACTATAATATGCCCCAAATTGCCTTTCTTAAGTTCCAAGTAAGAATTAAACTACATGGCAGCTCTGGAAGACCACACTATCAGCATATCTGTTACCTGAGGCAGCAGTTATCTCAGTACATCACGTACCTCACAACTGTGCCTACTGCATAATATTTGATCCAAACATTCCTAAAGTAGCAGATGCAAACAAATTAAAAAGACGAAGTACTGACAGAGAGGCTTTGCTGTAGCGAGAAGAGAGATGGAAATCGGCACGGCGCTCTGCTTTCGGGACAAAACAGACGGGACAAACGGGGCAGAACTCATCTGTTATGGCTGACAGACTCCCGGGAGCCGAGCGCGACCAGGAGACCCCGCAGCAGCCGAAGGGAGCGCGTCGAGCGCCGGCGCTGCGCCGGGCGGGGAGCCCCGCTAGGTGTCAGTGCAGCCCCGGCTAGAGCGGACGGAGCGGCTGCAGCGGCCCGGGTGCTGCCCGAGCGCACCGCCCACAGGCACCGAGCCGCAGCCACCTGCGGCGCGACGGGCCGAAGGCGGCCGTGCTCCCGGAGGTTGCCTTGCCCTGCCCCCCGAGGGGGGGACAGTGGGTTCTGTGGTTCCTTCGGCACCCGGTTGCTAAAAGTGAGCAGCTGCAACAGCTCGTTGGAAACAACTTGCAACAGGTTATCAGAAATAGCCCCGTGCTGCTCTGGCTCACCCAAGTTCACCAAAAGCCACTCGCCCAGCTGAGTGGGCTGCGGATGATGTATGTCAGTGCCCACTGTGTCCGACCCTGCTGAGCACCCGTTTGCTCAGGCTGCACATTTACAGCTGTGACAGGGCACTTCGATGGCGCAGGTTTGAAAGAAGAGGCAGTTAAAAGAAGTTAAATATACAGGTCAGAGACCTTCAGTTTGCTTTCAAAGATAAGTCTCTGCAGATGGATAGATTTCATCCAGATGGAGTGAAATATCATGTTGAGTTTCTATTTTCTTCATTAGAATAAATATTAGGGTCCTGGCATTAGAAAGTACTTCTTTCTCTTTTTATAAAATATATTAATTCACATGTCCCACTCTGAAATTGAGCTTAGCAGACAGCTGCTTTTATCTAAGTAACAAGGAGTTTGGCAGTAGCCTTGCTTTCCCTTTTGCGTGTTCTATTCTGCCCTCAGTCCCGGGGAGCAGTCCCCTAGCCTAAAGAAAGCCCTGGGGCTGCTGTGGCTTGAGCAGCAGTCTTCCCTGACACCAGGCTTACAGGCAGACATCTGGCTTACAGGCAGACACTTGGCTTACAGGAGGACACTTGCAAGCTGACCTCAGGTGAACGCTATAAATCAGACAGAGATGATGGATAAACACTTGAAACCCACCCAACTGGCAGTGTTTCTCTAAGGTTCTCATTGAGCAATTGAAGTAGCCACTGATCTTTCAGGCCTCAACCTGTGTTATAATTTCAACACTCCACAAAGAAAGCCATGTGCAATGGGAATCAGACAATGCTCAAAGTAAGGCCTGTGTAATCACCATTGCAAGTGTCAGGTATTGTGCTTGCTCTGTTAACTTCCATTAGGAGCTTGCAGTGAAGCTGCAAAATAGCAGTCATGCTAAGACATTTCTCATGGTAGGGTTTTACTCAAGACATTTAAAGAGCCATGACCTGCAAAGCGTGATTGTTCATACAGATTGCTGGCATTTGTGCTTTCAACAAAGTGTAGGTCTGCAAAAGTGCTGAGCATCCTACAACATTATTGCTAGCTCCTGCAGACTGCACTGGGAGGTGGTGATACTTCCTGGCTATGCACTGTTTAAAAGCTGAACAATGTAAGTGTTCTTCAGTGGTGCTTGGAGACATAGCTAAAAAAGGCCAGCACTTAATTTCCTTTGGCAGGAGGTATATTTTGTAGCCCAAACCTTTGTATTTGTCTAACGGCAGTTACACAGAGCAGAGTACCATTTGATGTACAGTTTAATGAAGATATTCACAAAACCAAAATCAGGCTAGGGACTCATCTGAAACCACCAGAGCAACTTAGAGTTGCAGTGACAATCTTTGCTATTTGATCCCAGGATCTTCAGAGGAAGGGGTCGATGAGGACTTTGCAGTGCCCTGTAGCTCCAGCACTTGGGAGCACTGAGAAAGGAGAAAGGAGAAAGGAAGACACCATGGTTCCTGGTGATGCCACCTGCTCTGCCCTACTAGAGCTGACTTTCACTGTGAGGATCTGCCCATCTCTTGGAATCTAAGAATTAAGACTTTTTGTTTTCATTGCAGATAACTAAAAGATATTACTTAGCTGTTTTCAGGACTTGTCCCTGATTTATCCTTCCATCTTAAGCTAAGGGTAGTTTCACTGTTGTGCTCTTGCTGCCACACAACTGATGGCCATTCCGTGCCATGGCTCAGGACACAGAGACAGCCGCTTTGGGAGCTGCCCCTGCAGTGTAAGAACAACCAAGGGGCTGCAGAGAGTGCCAAGCAGGCCGCAGTGCCAGGCAAGCACACACAGCTCGTGGCATACGTACTGTGCCCCAGCTCCGATTTTCTCTCCAGACCATCCTTCCAAACTTTGCAATTACTTTCCTTTCCTTCCACTGCAAGGGTTTGAAAAGAAGTAATCTCCCTCAATTTGTTACTATGAAAGACTGACTAATGTGAATCTAGAG